CGAACTGTTCGCAAGCTGTTCGAAGAACTCGTTTCGTCATTCGAGTAGGAGAGCTCGTGAGATCGATCGATAAGGTTTCAGCTCGTGAGTCAAGGCCACTGACGCAGGTGCCGTAGGAGAGGAGGTCGGAGGTAAAGCTGAGATCTGACGAGTTCGATGACGGTGGAGTAGACTCAGATGGTGGTGAGTAGTTTCCTCATGACGTAGATCAACTGAAGATTATGACTGGGTGGAGATGAGGAGTTGGATTTTGGTCTCAGTAGATTCGACTGAGAAGTTAGTGGGAGGGGCAGTGGAAGAAGAAGAAGAAGAAGAGGTGTTCAAAACGACGTCGTTTTGTTAAATCCTTATAAATAGCCGAGCCGAGCCGAGCTCGAGCCGTTTATTTTTTTAAATGAGCCGAGCTCGAGCTTGTGCGCCAGAGCTTGTCAAGCTCGAGCCTGTCAAGCTCGAGCCTGCTCCTAATACATTCGAGCCGAGCTCGAGCCAGCCATTACTCGGCTCGGCTCGGTTCGTATGCACCCCTAGGTATACCATGTCTTCAAATAATATTAAAATTAATTTTGAAATGAGATATGATTTAATTAAAACAAAATAGATTAGATATTTCATAGGAGTGAACGTAGAAATCGGGTAATAAAAAGATAAAAGAAAAGGGCTAAATATATATAGATTAGCCATTGTGGAATGCAGTCTTGCAATTGCAATCGTGGGAACCTGGGCCTGGGCCCACTAAGATAAAACTGGGTCTAGGGCCACTTTTAAAAGAATAATCAGAAATTAAAGTGTTTTTACTATGATGAGAAGTATTTTGTTATTTTAATACAACAGAGAAGCTTAACCAACCCTTGGATGATCGAGTGGTTTGATGGAGACTCTTGGGTATATTACTTAAAGAGGTCATAAGTTCGAGTCCTTTCTCAGTTGCTAATAGGGGTGACTACTAGAGTTCTTACCCTGTCAGTAATTTCAAAGTCCTTGAAAATTAGTTAAGGTGCGCGTAAGCTGGTTTGGACACTCCTCGTTATATATATATATATATATATATATTATATATATATAATATATAAGTCACACAGGCATTGCAATGAATCTTTCAAGAATTACGTGACTATCAATTGAATTTTCCAGGAAGTAACCTAAAACCCCACTTGGTTTACTAGTCTTTAATTGTCCATTGAAGTTTTCTATGTTTGCTAATTTACCTCAATTAACTTGTTATTTAATCGTAGCTCCGGTCTCTGTGTTTGACTATAAATAAAACTATAAAATGTCTATCTCAATCACCGTGGATGTGCAGAGAAACTAATTGAATGAGTCAGTAATGAGAAAGCTAAACCTAAACTAATCCCCAACTGGTTTAATATAATAATAACTGTATTTTGTTTTAAACAATTAGATTTACTCAGTGGGTCTTTCTTTTATAATAATTAATTAACTAATATTAAATTAATGTGACCGATGAGGCTTGCATAATTGCATCGCATAATAAATAGTTATAATATGAGGTGGCTGTGGGTTTGGTTAAAGGTTGACCAACCATAACGAATCCTCTGTTTGATCTCTTTCGTTAATGTCACTCCTTACATCTTCTAGGATAAGGTCCTGATGAAATATTAATATTTAATTATTTAATTATTTTCAACTATGCATGTTTTAGTAGTTCATATAATTATCACGTCAATTATTATTTATATGCTAGCATCATATGAAAGATAGGTTAATTACTATTTTTAAGATAACATTTACCTTCTATATATCATAATACTTTAGTTAATATGTAATGATATTTATTATTGTAATATCACCAGTCAATCTATATTTTTAAGGAAGATGGAAACTTATATTAATTTACTACTTCGGAGACATCATTAAGAGAGTGTTTGTCTGAACTATGAAATTAGCTTATACAACAAGCACTTATAAGCTAATTTTAGTTTATAAACATTTGAAATTTAAGCAATTACGTGTTTTTTAAAGTACTTATAAGTGATTGATAAGTAGTTGACGTGTTTGGTAAAATGTGGCTTATAGTACATTTTATTAAAAAGGACTAAAATGATACTATATTAATAGGTAATTATGAAATTTTAAAATTAACACAGGCTAATGTGGTATATACTTGGTCAAACTAACTTATAAGTAGAGGTCTTTAAGCAAAAAAAAAAAAAAAAAAAAAAGCTTATAAGTTCAAAAAAGTTATAAACACAGACCATTTTAATTTTAGAATTTATAAACTAGTTTGATCAGCTTATAAGCTTAGACAAACACCCTTAAGTCACAAACATTCTAGCTATTTTTTAGAACCATTTAATAACCCAATAATGGGTTTTTGAACTTTTATGGCGGGTTTTTTTTATATTTGCAGACATTTTTTTTTTAATATTTTAAGTTTGTTTCTTTTTAGTAATTCATTGAGTATTTAATAATTTTGAAAATTGTTGGATGTTCGAGATTTAGCGATCTTTTCAGGGCTCATATAACTTTTAAGTTAAATAAAAAGAGTATTTTAAGATTTATCATAAACTTTTTTTGTATGAAGATATGACATAAAAAAAAATATACAAAATAGGTAAATTTCATTTATTGTTATGAAATTTGGCTGACATTGTAGATTTCTTTTTAATATGAATTTAAATAAAATTTTTGGTTTTTAAAAATGAGGGATAAACAAATCTTGAAACACTGTTGGTAAAATAAGTCGAATTGTTTTCAAGCAAATTTCGAATACAATCTTAAAACTAATATAAATTAAAAAACTTTTAGAAGTCATTTTGAAAGTTTTCTATACCTTTTAATCTATGAATTTTTTTTAAATATTATATCAAACACATTTCAAATATTAAAAATATCAAGATATAATTTAAATTTGTGATCGTATTTTAGTTTTTAAAATTATTTTTGAATAACAAATCGAGTAGAGATTTTGACTTTATTCTAAGTTTCTACCATATATACATGTGATGTACTTTTATTATAGTTATACCTATAAATAATAAGAAATGACATGTTGAGATTCCCTATAATAGCAGGTCAACATAAAATAAGGAGAGGGATTAAGTGATTGTCTTTTGAAATTTTCATAATTATACTTATATTAAATTATGAAAATACCCATTAATTCTTTTTGAAATAATCACTATCTCCAAAGTTTCATGAATTTTGTTAAAAGCTGACCAAATCTAAATTGATCTAACATTAAAAAATTGCTATCACGAAGAATAATATTATATATATCTCAAGTTTATATTCAAATTTTACATATTATTAATGTAATAATATCTAGTAATTTACTAATTTATGTATATTATGTAATTTTATGATCATGATTACCTCAAAATATATCTTATTATTTTTAACCCTTTTTAAAGATTTACACAAGGTTTATGAAAAATTGGAATTAGGATAGATGTAATTGTACTATTATTATTATGATACTTTAAAATAATTTGTATATTTTTTACACATATCAATATGGCATAAAGAGAGTAACTAAATTAAAATAATAGAAGTAAAACTCAATTGTATTACACTAATTTTTAATATTAAATTAAATTATTTTATTTTATATCAATTTATGAGTTTGACTTAGATGAAAATCAACCCAATTCCAACCTACGTAAGTTCAAGTTTGGCTTAAGATACCCAGCCTTGACGATTTCTTGCTGGCCTTTTTTGTAATTTCAAGGAAATTACAAACTGCAGAAATACGAAAGACAGCACCTTTTTATTAAGAATGTCACCATCAAAGATCTGATGAAAAGATGGTCAAAGTCAACGAATAGAAATTGTCAAATATACCCTTATTATCCTGTTGAAGATTCTAAAGAAGCTAAAAGCACAAAGAAAAGACACAATTAAAATGTATTATATAATTACACAAATATTAAGAAATTTCAAGAGATTTATAATGAAATTCGAAACCATTTAAATTAATTATATTTTAATTACAGGTAATTTATTTGTTTTTTTATTTTTTACACTTACTTGTGGCAAGAAATAAATTAAGAAATACCCTCTCTTCATGGATTACGTGGGACATTAGTTCAAATATTTGATCATCAGTGCATCTTCTTGAAATTTTGTGAAATTATCTGAGATAAAAATTCCAATATTAATATAGCCAATACAATAATTATTTAAAACAAATATAAATTAATTAGTAAAAAATATTTTTTCAAATTAAGTTTATATTTTACACAAATTCAACAAAGAAACAAACCCAGCATTTGTCAATAAGCTTTTGTCTAGGTAGCATATGTCATAGGCGCATGAAAATTTTATCAATTATTTATTAAAGGAAAATGAAAGGAAAACAAATGATATTAATTTATGTTAAATATATAAAATAAAATTTATCTGTAGTCTAAATAATTTATTAACCAATTGAAATTGTATGTTCATAAATATTCTTTTCAATTAAAATCTTAAAAAAAAAAAAAAATATTTCAGGTCAAACCAACGAAAATTAGATCATACATAATTTCCTTTCTAAAAAATAATAATTTATATTAATACAAATACTATAAATTAAAATATAAATATAATACAAGTGATAATAGATGATAAATCATTTATACAAAAATAAATTAACATTATTGATATTTTTTTCAAATTAATGAATGTTTAATATCACATATATAATTATTTTTAACATGAAAAACTGTAAAAAAAATAAAAAAATGCCCTATATTGACTTAATAATCATAGGAAATTACATTTCATATGGTCAAAAAGATTTGAAACCCACGACTTAATTTTACTGCTTCCAATTCACACATTTTTGCCGCTAAATAAATGAGAGTGAAATGACGAAAGTAGCCTTGGAACCTAACTGCCAAACAGTAAACCCGTTTGAAGAATCCCAAGAAATCCCTCTGCAAAATTGCGTGTAAAATAACAAAGAAGCGTCTGGCGCAAGAGATCCCTCTTCATTTTTTAATATAATCTCATCACTTTTCTTCTTTCTTTAATCTGAAACTCCTCCTAAATATATACATATATATACACACACATTCTCAAACTTTTTCCTCTTATCTCAAGTTTCACTTTTCTTTACTGTTTATTTCCCCAGAATCGAAGATCTTCTCTCCAAGGCTAATTCAAGTCGAACCCCATTTCTTCTCAAGAATTTCTTTTTATCCAAAATGTTATTCAATTCTTCATGATTTTGATCTCTCTGGTGTTCGTAATTCGTTTCAGGATTTCTTCCCGTGTATTGAAAGATGCTGGGAGATTTCATTACCAGACTTCTTATGTATGTAATTCGTCTCTTTTCTTTTCGTTTTAATTTTTTTTTTGATGATTGATGATTGTTGATTGTTGATTTTTTATTTATTTATTATTTTATTTCGGTTTGTTTCAGATTGGTTCTTGGGTATGCATATCCAGCCTTTGAATGTTATAAAATCATTGAGAAGAACCGGGTGGAGATTGAAGAACTCAGATTCTGGTGTCAATATTGGTAAGTTTATTATTAATTCTTTTCCTTTTAATTTGATTGTTGTTTTGTTTCCTCTTGTTTTTAGATTAATTTTTTTACAAATTATATGTTCCCCAAATTAGAAGAATCGGTCAATAATTAGTCATACAATACAAAGAGTTTGAAGCCATCAATGCTAGTTAGGTTGGAACAATTATTTCTAGTTTTAAGGCCAAACGACTTGATTTGAATCAGTATTTTCAGTTATTTAATATATCCACCTCCTCTCAGGTTTCGGTTAAAATATAAATACAGAATTTATGAACATGAATGGATCGGCTCATCGTGGCCTCAACATCGAATAAATGATTTGATTCTGTATAATTTTTATTTTAGCAAGATTTTGTACCAATTTTGCAGGATTCTGGTGGCAATGCTGACAGTTTGTGAGAGAATTGCAGACGTTTTTGTTTCATGGTATGCAAAATCTGAAACATACATTCATGAAGTACTATTATGATCTGTGCTAATTTTAATTCTGATGAAGGTTGCCCATGTACGGCGAGTTGAAGCTGGCATTTTTTATCTACTTATGGTATCCGAAAACAAAGGTAATTAAATAGAATCAAACTGGTAGATTTGATATCCTTTATATTTAATCAAAAATTTACACAGATGTTTTGTTTTGATGAAATCAGGGAAGTGGGTATGTTTATGACACCTTGCTGAAGCCGGTTGTGTCGAAGCACGAAACTGACATCGATCGAAAGATTCTGGAAATGAGGGCAAGAGCGTGGGACTTGGCTCTTTACTATTGGCATAATTGCACGGAATTAGGCTCTGCAAAGTTCTTTGAAATGCTTCAATTCTTGGCGGGTCAATCTGCAAGGTTTAGCAGTAATATCAATCAGGTAATCTTCTAATCTCCTAGCAACTGCGGAAATGCAATAATAATAAACTTATCATTACTTACAAGACTTGCCTATTCCAATTCCCATTCCCATTCCAAATCCAACAAAACAAAACAATTTTTTAAAGCAAAACAAAAATTGCACTCTTCATTATGTTTAAAGTTTGCTATATACACAACAATTCTAACTGACAAAAAATTGCAGAAATCCAATCAGCAAGCGCCAAGTGCACCGCCACTGCCAGAAATGCAGAATTCAGGCAAGCCCCATAAATGGTCATCGTCTTCAAGCGGCGGACAACCATCTTCACCAACAGTCAATCGGGCCGTATCAGAGCCCATGAAGCCCAATATGGTCCAAGTCCACACTCGCAGCCCATCCGAGCCCGTTAATCTCGAAGACCATCCTTACCCGGACTCCCCCAGCGCCCCCGCCTCACCAAACGACAGCCTCCTCCTAGCTCGTCTCAGGCTCCGCCGTCAAACCCCCCACCATTGAAATGAATCAATGATTACCCAATTGTACAAAACATTAAAAAAAAAAAAAAAAAAAAAACACCCACAAAAGAAATTAAAACTAGTGTAAAAATTCTTTCTTTCTTTAATTGAAATTCAGTTAATTCTTTCTTTATTTTATTTTTCATGTAAATTTTTGTTATCTGTTGAAAAAAACTAATATAGTACCGAGAAATTGGTGAATGGCGCGAGATAAAGCCGAGATGATATGAGAATTGATGAAGCGTAAGCAGGAAGAGAGAGAAGTAAAGAGGCGGTGGAGGAAGTGTGGGGCGGAAGACCCGGGGGAGGAGGACATGGGTTGTAGGTAGGCCCAGGCAGCCTGTTTGACGAGACGGTTGCGAATGGAGATTTCGTAGGCGGAGTTGGCGGCGGATCCGGCGGTGGGGGAGTTGACGGAGGAGCATGGGATGAGGTCTTTGAGAGAAGTGTAGGATAAAGAGGTGGGTTTGATGAGGGAGGTGAGCTCAAAGGATGATGGTGAAGAGGTACCGTTTTGTGGTAGAGTGAGTTTTGTTGGGATGGGTAGTGGTACGGAGGTTGAAAGTAAGTTTCTGCGGCGGAGGTGTGGTGGTTGGAGCGGCGGCGGCGGGGGGTGTGTTTCAGGTGGATTCATGGTTTGAGTGAGTGTTTGAGACATTTGAGAGAAGGGAAGAGAGACAAAAGTGTTTTGTTTGTGGTGATTGTCATTTATTCACAGTTTCTTTATTTATTTTTTTAATTAATTTTCCGGATTATAAAAAACATTTATAGGTCAAAATATATTTCATTTAATCATGAATTATAAGTTTAATAATAATTTGTTGGCAATTACTTTCAAGGTTTGAAAGCTTCAATATGTTGAATAACCATTTCACACTATTATTAACTATCTTCACATGAAATGCAGAACAGAACAATATCAAAAATTGTCACATGAATAGTAATAAAAATAGAATCATTTCATATTTTGAGAAAAAATAAAAAGTGAGTATAACTTTTAGGAGAGTTGATTGTTGCAAATTCCCAATTGCATATTGATGTTAACTTATTTAATATACACGTGGTTAATTTATTTCCTCTTTTTTATCTAATTAAAACGTATTCAATCATAAAATACATGTAATGTGTAAATATGATACTTAATACTTATATAATATACTATGATTTTTTTTAATATTTAATCCCTCCAATTTTATGTTGATAATACACGATTGGATGTTTGACGGTCAATAATTTAATGTTGTTTTATTAAATTTTCATGTTTATCTTGTTTTGATTCAAAGTTTTCCTTTTGTTGTATAATTGGCGTTAATCTTGTGAGGTTGACTGCTTTTGCATTACACCTCTGACTCTGAGTCAACTTGACTCTATTTTTTTTTCCTATTTTTTAACGATTAATTTCATCCGCCCCTGAAACATTGTTAAGTTAAACTCCCATAGTAATTTTCAAGTTCAATTAAATACCTCCTATTGTTTTTTTATTATATATTATTACAGGGTTTTTAATATTTTTTAAGTTTTTCTTTTTTTCAATGAGATTTTTGATAATTTTAAGTGAACAATTAATAGTTTTAAAAAATTAGTAGTGATGTTTAGGGATAGATGAAGTTAAATCTTTATTTGCACAATTTCTTGATTTAGATAAATGAGACTCTTATGTCAAGAAATTGTGACACTCTTAAAATGCATGTTAAAATTTTGGTAATTAAAGATACAACTATATAATCAATTCAATAAAAAAATAATAATAAGATAACAAATTGATTCTAATCCACGATTATTGACTAAGGATTAGATATGGGCGTCCTCCTCGCCCCACGGTACAGGGCGAGGATTCCTAAAAAAAATCAAGGACAAGGATGACGACCAGAAAATCCCTCGCTCTGGGGACGAGGATAGAGGTCCCATTTTCTTCTTCTTGACCGCCTCACCTTCAACCCCAACAACCACGACTTGGGTGGTTTTTTTTATGTATCGATTTAGGCTAGTGTTGTTGTGGATCTTGTGAAGTTGATTTGATTTTGTTGTGGCTGATAACCATTTTCTTTTTCTTTCACGTTTACTTCCTCAAATTTCTTAAAGAAAAAAAATATATGGTTTTGGTGGGATGACTGGAAATTTGTTGATTATAATTATATGGTTGTGGGTTTGAGAAATGCCAGTAATGATGCCGTGTGTATGGAATGTTGTGATTTCAAAAGAGATGGAAGTGAAGAGGCAGCGGTGATGTTTTGGGTATGGAAAGTTGTTTCGGCAAGCCTTTCTAATCAGAGTAATGCTACAGTTATCGAAGGATGTGCACCAAATTCGTGCACCGAATAACGTGGTAAAATCCTGACCGTTGATTCATTATAAATTAATATTAATCAACGATCAGTATTTTGTCACGTCATTCGGTGCATAGATTCAGTGTGTAATTTTCGGTAACTGTATCATTTTCCTTCTAATCAGCACCACCACAAGCCACTCATGACAACCCAACCTTAGACAATCACCACCACAAATGAAAATCTCCAAACAAATTATTGAGTTAACTAACACAATCAACCAATACAACCCAAACAACCATTCATAATAAAAATGAACAAATTCAAAACAAACTCTATCTGGTAGAAACCCGATTTCTAAGTTGATTGACACATATTAATCATAGTAGTTGATCTACCCAATTGAAGCCATCATATATGTCAGAATCAACGACTTTTATATCATCATCAGTGAGGGTCTTTTTCTCATCATTTCGTTGGCTGGTGTTCTGTTGCTAGTTATCACTGCAAAAAATCTGGTTGTGACTACAAATGGTCGGTTGTTGTTCGGGTGAGGAAAGGTATTGATGAACTCGATGGTGTTTGAGTTGAAAATGTTGCTCAAGTAATAATGGTGCAAGGACTAGCGTTCCTCATGTGGCTCAAAAAGCCATCGACGCTAGTCAAGGCTTGGAACTGGTTATCCTCGGTATTGTTTTTCAACTTTTTAAGAATATTTATGGCCTTATTTTTGACCTTAGAGGACTTGTGCTTTGTGAGCTTGCCTATAGTCACACCTAACTCAAAATATGTTAAGGGCATCAGACATTTGTAATCTATATGCATCTATCGGTACTTGATAGACATTTATTAGTGACTAATAACCAATCGATAGACAACTATCAATGTCGATACCCAATTGAAATCCGAATAAAATCTAGATAGAATACTAAAACAAAACAAATTCTATCCGATAGAAACCCAATTTCTACTCATGGCAGCCCAACCTTAGACAATCACCACCACAAATGAAAATCTCTGAACAAATCATTGAGTTAACTAACACAATCAACCAATGCACCCCAAATAACCATTCACCATAAAAACGAATAAATTTATGAAAATAAAACAACATCAATACTAATATACACTCACCTCATCATATCGTTAAACTCCACATCTCAATATAATACTTCATCATCTGAAATTAACCATACTATTAGTGTGGAAACTCAAGCATACAATAATACCATCAAACCCCCAACACCCCAAACTGTGGTTGCTCGTCAATCGCTGTCCGTCGCCCCCTATTTGTTTCATGTGACAATCGCGATTTTGCAACGATTTGGTGTAGCTCGCGACCTTTTCTCGTTAATTGCAACTTCCTGTTGATTATTGTTGCTATTTTGATTGCTGTTGTGTATAATTACCTAGTCGTTGATGAAAAGGCCGTAGAGCAGGGACGGGAGGAGACGAGGAATCCCCTTAGGTGGAGAGGACAGGGAATGGGGTCCCTAGCCCTACCCCGCCCAGTTGCCATCCTTAGTAACAATTAATTGACAGACCAAATATTTATCAACACATTATAAGACAAATTAGGAACTTTGAAATTGTTAATAGTTAGCAGCTTCATACCTCCTACACAAGGATAGATGTATTTATTTTAGCCAAATTAGTCATTACACACACACACACACACACACACATATATATATATATATGCACACTTTTTCGAATAAGTTTCTAAAAATCTGGCTGAAAAGATATAAAAGTTTCAAATCATTCAAATCTTTTAATTTAAATTTTCAATTTACAATATAAATTCGTGGCGAATCTAACGGATATGAGATGAAAGTTGGAAGCAGTTATTTTCTTTACTACTTCACACCTACTCTTAAACTATTGGATAGTAATGGATCCATGGTTGAAAATATAAGTTAATTTTTAAAACATAGTTAAATTTAAAGGGAAAATGTATTCTATGAACTATTTGTCTGATAAGTGTCATTTCTTTGAGTAATAAATGACATGCATTCTTTTTGTTGTTGTTTGTATGTGTGTGTGTGTGTTTTATTCCCTAAATGATGATCACATAATTTGAAGTGAGAAATTTTTTAGTAAATTCATGACATTTTAAACATAAATGTGGTAATTAATATAATAGGCACTGTCTAAATAGCAAGTAACAATCATAATTATCAAAAGTTAGATCAACCGAAATACCTAATACAGCAATGGAAGTACATAATTAAATATTTATTTCAGGAATAGTTTTATAATAAGTGAAAAACAATGAGAGGGAGCCACGAAGAGAAATGGAGAAAATGGTAGGCCACTTCGTGAGCTTGATCTAAATTCAAAGAAAGAAAAAGACAAAGAATGGCCACTAGTTCCAAATTGATGAATAATCTAATTCTTAATAAATGGGATTGGTCAATTTTGGGGGCTCTACTCTAGTTTTAGTTATTAAAGACTTTTCAAATTTACTTATCATTTTATTTTTGTGCTTTTTCCATTTATTTAAGAAAGTGTGCTTCACCCACCTCTTCTTACAACATATTATTTATTTTTTTAATTGATTTTGTTATTTAATAAGGTCTTGTTAATGTATAAATGTTGAATAGATCTCACTTGTTTCATTTCTTTTTTAATAACTAATTTAAAGAAAAAATTATGTAATTTTAAGGCTTTTTTTTTCTTATATATATATATGTAGAAAATTATGGACCAAATTTAAGCCTTTAAAGGATGTCTATGTTGATTTTGACAGTGTTATAGACATGGGTTTGCCTAATATTTAACAAACCTTAAGAAAGGTCAATAAATTTAGGGGCAATCCTATCTTAACCCAATTAATTATTTATAGTTTCACATACTTCATTCTCATAAATTAACTTAAATTAATTATTTTATATATATAATAATTCTCTTATAAAAACATTTTTACGTAAATTTTGTGAAGAACTGCTTAAATACCATTGAATTCATTTATAAAAAAAAATCATGTCGGTCCAATGATGATAAATCTAATGATAGTTAACACGGTCTTCACAAAATTTAAGTAAGGACGCTATTATCATAGAATTGCTATATATATAACCTGAAATACAGAACTTCTTTGAAGTTTTTATTTTACCATTCAAACTTGAATGAATGTAAAAGGTAAAGGTATGGGGCAAAAGGTGAGCTGTAGGCCCACAGTTCTGGGAATCTGACGTGGGGCTGAGTTGGACGCCAATCATGAGTCATAACCAAGTTGCGGCCCTCATTTTGCGTCTCTTGTTGTCAAAATCACATTTAACTTTATATTAAAATTAAATATAATAATTATATTTATACTTTTTTGCTTCATAACGAGGAAATGAATTAGTATTGGATACCACCACATTTTGCACCCCATCAATATATTACTCTTAAAGAATATTGGATGAGTCCTTTTTTAAACGGCAATTTAAT